GCTTTGAAATATATTAATAATAATGATATGGAAAAAGAAGATATAGTATAAAAATTGTAAAATCAAAATAGAGAAATGAAGAAACTTTGATATATTTTTTTCAATATCTATAGTCATTGAACAATGTAATGGAATATTGTAACTGAGAGAAATGAAAAAATGTGGATTACATTTCTGGATTCTCGGTTATCTTTTTTTTTCATTTAGATTTTTTTACTCTTTTTGCCCTATCTTTTTTTTCTTTTTTTTTTGTGTTTTGTAATGAAACACGTATATCTATATTTTGTTTCTTCTTTAGACGATCGATAACGTATCGAATCGATCAATTTATAGGTCAGCGAGATGGTTCGTGTGTAATTGCGATCGTGTTTCCCTCTCGATTACATTTGTTCAATCTGTGAAATGATACCTACGAATAGAAGCGAAAAAGGCAAAACTGTTTTGATACTTTTTTAATTGCTTTTTCCTATACGAAGTGGAGAATGGTCACCAAACTTGTTACTAACTAATTTATGTACTTGAACGTAAAGGTAGTCCATGTAATTGGTTTTGATGTTGGTCTTGTGTAAACTTTTGATCGATAACTCGATTGGATATCGATACTTTTAGTATTCCTCTGAATCATCCTGTAATCAAGATATTTAAAGTATCCGGTGTCCTAGTTTAGAACAGAAAATTAATATAAATAATTAAATGTACTTTGTAAAAATATTTTTAAATGAAACAGATATTGTACACGTATCCAAGGTTGATTCAAACATGAGGGAAAATAAATTTTTGAAATAATAGAAAATGAGAATTCTTTTGTAAGTAATTTTTATATCATTGAGTATTCTGCCTATAAAGTAAACGATTTCGATTGATTTTGATTTTATCTAGAAAATAATTTAAGGAATTTAACAAAAAAACATTCTACATGTATAGCGTCAATCAATAAAAATTACTATCTGAAATAACTCGTAACTTTATTGATTGATTATCGAAAAATGTGTTTTATTTAATTTGATTTGATTTGTTGGATGTAACCTTTGATATATTGCATATTTTATTAAGATGTTTTTATCCGTGTATCCAATAGAACCGAGTTATTTTATATATTATTTTTTATTGATTCACACTGTATATATACATAACCGAATGATTTATAATAACTAAAATCTTTCTTCTTTTTGGTTATTCACTATAAATTCGAGTATTGTTCTTTGAATACTTTTGTTTTTGAATAATAAACTTACTACAACAGGTAGTGCATCTTGGTGCATCTTCAAATTCTACAAGGATACACAATATCTCATCATCTTCAATTTGACCCACTTTAAAAACTTCATTTTCCAGCGGGAACGTTAAATGTAATCAGTAAATGAATTATTAAATGATTATAATAATGCTGTAACAAAATTTGTTGATTAGTTCACATGGCAACAATGATTTTAATCAAACCGATTATCAAATATTAGCCACATAAATTTTAAAATTATTTTAAAATAAAAATAATAGTTTATATAATATTTAATTACTCAAGTGTTACACACCCTTGATCTACCATCCTACCACTTGAAAAAAAAGAATCAAAAAAGAAAGGACAAGAAAAAGTAGAAAGTAGAAAGTAGAAAGTAGATCAATGCAAATCGGGCGATTTTTCATGCTCTATTTTTCGAAATCTTTCGTTAAGTCCGTTGTGTTGTTTCCTGGTAGATCCTATAGATGTTTCCATTCTTGTTTCTATTTTATGCGTGTATATACCTATGTATATACATGTATAATACATTGTACGTGTTATAGAAAGTTTCTCACATTTCTACGGGCGACATAAAAGGGAACTTTTCAATCTGTACCATAGATTGGTAACTTTCTGCTGGAGACTTTCCGGCCGAATGATACTTTATCGAAGCCCTCTTTGTGCGATCGAAACTTTTCATACTCGGCTTCTTTCTCTTTTTCTCTTTTTCTATCCTTAAGAGAGTTTCATGACCACACGAAGCAGAAGAAAACCCCGAAACAACGTCGAACGCTTTTTTGATTTTTGGTAAGGTTCAAAACAAACTCGTACGAGGAATTTCAAGTTGTTTTACGCTCTCGCTTAGTGGATTAAAAATGAGAAAGATGACTTTTTCTTTTTATTTTTCTTTTTCTTCTTATTTTTCTTCAAACAGGGATAAACATTTGTTGCACGAAGTGCAAGAGCGTTATACGGGATATATAGTTTATGACCGAATTAAGGTTATGCAGCCACCATTCGATAGAAATTGTTTTTCCTAAGATACATTTAATCAATGAAATTTCTCCATTTGTCGTTTAATCTTTTACGATATCTTTAATAAACTTTGTTTTTTTTTTATTGCAATATTTTTATACCTTGAAAAACAATTGGCCGATTTTTCTCGTTCTTAATCTTATTGTTAGAAATCACCTTTGAAAATGTTACAACCGAGTAAATAGAAAATAAAAGAAGAGTATGGGAGTTCTAAATTTTACCAAACACACAAATAACTATGTAAGTAACTTCTTTCTACCTCCTTCCCTCCTCCTCCCTACTCCTTTCTTTTTTTTTTTTATCGATTTACGAATGGAAAAGAACGAAGTGGCCCGTGCGAGAATAAACTTTCAGTCGGCTGGACCGAACCATAAAGCTGGGAATGGTCGATTTAACTCCGTTTATTTCTTTTTCTATTTCTTGCATATATGTACTATATATATACATATATATATATACACACACACACGCAGATATATATGTATACATTCACCAAATTCAGAAGATAGCTATAGTTGATTCTCTTTCTATAGGGAAATAATTGAATTCGTAGAAATAAATATTCGCTTTCGTTTTATCGCGAACGTGCCGGTCCAGGGATATCATTCAAGTACGGAATATTATACGCGACTACGAAAGAAGGTTCGCGCGTGACGTAGCATTAATCACGTTTCTTCTTTCCCTTTCCTCCCTTCCTCCCTTTTATTCTTGTTGAAGGAAGACACAACCCTCTTGGATGTTTCATCGCACAATTTTAAATATCCAACATCGAGGCCACTCTCTCTCTCTCTCTCTCTCTCTCTCTCTCTCTCTCTCTCTCACTCTCTCGTCGTGTAAATTATGAGTATTTTTTTTCCACTTTTAGTACGATGGTCAAGCTATCTTTCATTTTATTGCTATTATTATTATTTTTTTTTCCCCTTTTTCCTCGCCTCTTTTTGTTTTTATTCCCTTTTTTTTTCCTTTTTCTAGTTACCGAGGAATTAATCATTCCTGTTACGGTATTTATCTTTTCGTTTTTTTCTATTTCATCGTTTACTTACACTTGGATTTATTAGCACCGACTCAAATTCGGACAGATTGACGATGTAAGATTTAAGAGAACGTTGCTGTTACTACTGCTGTTGCTGTTGCTGTTGCTTCTACTACTATGCGGATAAAATGAAATTGCTCGAGTTAAGCAGGGCTTAGCTTAAAGTATCCTGTGCGTTCGCGTGAAGCAGGAATTGCAGTGGCAAAGCTGCTTACTCGAATCCCATTCGTCAATCGTTCCCCTATATATCGTTTATAATTTTTTCAACAATTTTCCGTCTTCTACTTTTTCTTTTTGTCTTTCCTTTCTTTTTCTTTTCCTTACCCAAACTTAATCGAGATTTTATTTCTAGCTTGATAGTTAATTTAAAATTATCCCGATTGAGATGGAAGATAAAAGAAAAGATGTGTAATGGACGAAAATGAAATTTTAAGAATAACGTTGCTTACGTTTGAATTTAAAAATTCTTTCACTTTGATTGTCACCATGATAACCTTATCACATCAACGTAAATATCTACAATGAAAATAGACGGGTATAAAAAGTTTTCATCCAACCGAACGTATATTTTACGTATTTATGTATATCTGTGCTCGTGCTACCGAATATTATCGTAACACCGTGCATACAAATTTCCCCGTAGTATCTGCGACAAGATAAAAAAGCACCAGTTTCCGATTCGTTTTCGTGCAGTTTTAGAATATGTGAAAGTTAACACCGCCAATGTTGGATGATATTTAATCCAACGGAATCGCGCGTTAGATCGAAATAGATTACGCTGCATTGTGTGGAGAAGAAAAAACAAGGGATAAAAAAACAAATAACAACAAAAAAAAAAAGAGGAGAAAGTTTTGTTCTCATTGTCTCAATGGTATTTTTTTGTTTTTTTTTTGCTGTTACAAAATCGTCCTTTTCGATATAACGTTGTACAACTATCTAACACGATTTCTAACGCCATTTGTTCTATCGTAAATCCAAATATGACCGTGTGTGTGTGTCTGTGTGTGTATATTAGTATAATCATCAGAAATGCATCAAAAAAATGTTCATAATTATTGAATTGTCCGAAAAGCTTATGCCGATTTATAAATATATATATATATATTTGATAGATATTTTTGTAAATATATAAAATATAAAAAAGTATTGCTTTTGAATTTGTTCATTATTTCTTTTCTTCTCTTTTTTTTATTAAATCTGCAAGAATTTTTCAGGGAGTTTAATATATTTTAATCGAATTTATATTACGAACAAAACTCGATTCGTTTATTTCTTTTAAACGATACGATCAAAATTATTAAGCGTTCCGATTGGATTATTAATAGAAGATCTAACGTATTGATTATTAACTAAATTGGAAAAGTTAATTGAACTATACCGTACACGTACACTGTTTCCACATCAAAGCGAGTTCAAGGACTTCCTTATGTTCTACGAACGTCTGTAATCCCCAAAATGTGGTTTAATAAATGTCATGTGCGCATGAGGGGTGCTATTAAATCGCTGCAAAATCGTTTAGAATCGATCGGTGACACGCTTTTCGACGTCGCCGAGTTTATTTCAAATTATATAATATATATATATATATATATATATATATTTATACATACGTATGTATAAGTACATACATACATTTCCATAGTAGAGCTTCGCCGTAAATCCATTCGTTGGGTTCTTGTCCCATTTCGTTGGTCCGACGATAGAGCAATTTGTCGTGCAACTAATGATGCCGATTAATATTCCACTAATATATCTCCAGGGCGACATTATATGTATAACAAGCAAAATTTCAAATTAACCTCTCAAATTCGTCCTCACGTATCGATCCTTTCGTGAAAGATGAAAAAGGATTTCTTGTCGTAGGATAACATTTTTATTTATTTTCTTATCGTGGATCGAAATATTTCGCGGTGATTATTCAATTCCGATTAATGTATATGTTAAATGATAGAATTCCTGTGATGATGATGATGATGATAATGATAAGTATTATCTAATGAAATAAATATATTGGTCATTGGTGTTTTTCAGATTTTAATGGGAGAAACTGTTCGATATCGTTCGTTCGTTCGTTCGTTCGTACTTATATTCGTTCGTTTGATAATCTAGCAATTGTGAGATAGCGAGGAACGCGAGCTACTAATTTCGTTCTAATTTACCTTGTAATTTATACGAATGCGTAATATACTATACATACTATACTCTCGACGTATAACAAGCCAATGTAATCAGGAAGTACGGACGCGCTTTCATACATAATTATCGTTTTGCGGTAATTCGGCCACCACTGTTCCTGGGTGGTTGTAATCAAACTCGTGGGTCAATTCGCGAATTACAGGTAATTCGATGTTTAATCGACTTAATGTTTAAAGTTCACCGATTCGAAATTGAATTGCCGATCGATTTGAACACTGCCGAATCGCGTTTGTGTAGCGAATTAATTCGGATTCGGAAATCGGTGCTTTCCTTCCTCCTACTCCTTCCTCCTCCTCCTTCTCATCCTCTCTTACTCGTCTTCGTCCTCATTTTCATTCCCATTTCATTTCTCTTCTATCAATCGAAGATGTATATTATTAGTTCTTAATTCGCCGTTTGCGGTACGTACGGTGGCATATACGGTCCAGTGAGTATGTATTGCACCGCAACGATCATCAACTGCGGTGCACTCCATCTGATGATGTATGCACTACCTGAAACAAGAACAGTATATTCTCCTGTTATTCTACTCATTTGGTATAAATATATATATAGAATCTATTAATTTAATTTTTTTCCATGAATTATTATGAGTCACGAATGATTGAATTCTTCAATCTAATTTAAATACAATTTTAGATAAAACATATTAAATTGTATGAATTTATTTAATTATTATGAGTATACTTTAATAGATAATATCAAACTAAAATTTTTCATATCTAATTTTTAAATGTCCATTTTATGAATACTTTTGTAATAACCAATTATAAGGTGAGAATCTTTATAATTAGCTAAACCAACGTATATAATTTTCAAAGATCTATCTTTAGCTAACATATATCACAAATTTCTACTACTTAAAAAAAAAAAAGCGTATTTGTTAACAAAGCGTTGAGATAGTACAAAATATAGTGATATCACAAAGATAACTATCAATGTGTAAACGATAACCTGTTGTTGTTGTTGTTTGTTTCTTTTTTTATTTTATATAAGAAAGATGATAGAGATAAGGAGAGACAGGGGGTTACATTATATATATATTATATACATATATGGAAGAAGGTAGAGAGAATGATTGAAGCTTTAGATCTCCGTTTGCAAGCTCAAAGCCTGGCATAACGGATTACACCCTATCACGTCCAATATGTCAAGCGACGTGGACGACACGGAGTCGAGTATTATATCGCAAAAATAAAATAGGGGTTCTGTGTCCTCTCTCTCTCTCTCTCTCTCTCTCTCTCTCTCTCTCTCGTTCGCTTAAAATATCGACGACGATACTTCGATACGCGAGCAGGTGGGACGTGATACGGCTATTATTCGCACTTTTCTCCAAGAATTATGTATTTTTCATATAGCACGTAGCTTCAGATACGAGCTGAATGTCACTGAATGCAAAAGCAAGCGAGCTTAACTTTACTGGTACAGCAGCAAAAATCCTTTCGAAGTATGTAGAAAAGGGATGGAAGGAGGGAGGAAGGTTAAAGGGTGAAAAAGAGAAACGTCACCCAGATTCGAACATGTACCAAAGTATGTGACGGCTGAATTTTAATGTAAACGACCAGACAACGTTAAGGTCTTTTTTTTCTCCCCTTTCGTGTTTCGACCAAGTTGATTTCAATCAAAAATTCTTTTCGAATGTCTGCGAATCTCAACTAAATGAAAATTTAAAGTTTTTATTAAATTGTAGCGATATCTTTTCTATCCTTTGATATTTCTTTTTTTTTGCAATTTAATAATTTATAATTATAATTGTTACAATTGTACTAAAAATTTTGTTTTATCATAAAATTTGTCAAAAAAAAGGGTGCTACACACAAATATTTGTAACATTTAAATGTTACATACAAACAATATGTAGTATATCAAATATCTGCAAAGTTTTGTTAGTTTCATAAAAAAAAAAAAATACAAAAAAATGTAGAGGAAAAAAATTAAACAACAATAAAAAAAAAAGAGTTTATAAAATTTCGAATAGAAAATATATTTTTTTTTGGTCTCCCTCTCCTTTAAATTTTTAACGCACAGTAATAGAATATTACACGCGAAATGTAAATACGAAATATTGAACGAACAGGTAAATAATATAATCTCGGATTAAATTTCATTCGATGAACTCGTGGGAAACCTAATACGCTTTATCGTTCAACCCAAAACATTTTATATAATCGTTCAACGCGTTACAGTATTACCGATAGATTTACAATTCAGCAATAGTAATGCATTATCCGATAATAGTAATTAATTTTATAGGTTACAAGAGAGTAAAAGATAGAAAGAGAGAGAGAGAGAGAGAGAGAGAGAGAGAGAGAGAGAGGGAAAGAGGAGAGATATAAAAGCTCTTTACATAAAACGAACGATTTTCAACGAGTGAAGACAAAAAAAAACCAAAAAGAAAAAAAAGAAACGTTCGCGATCTCATGATCAAGATGTATTTCAACGATCTTCCTCTTTTCTTCTCGACATCTTTTCCCTTTCGGCATCCCCAAAGGTGTCTTTAGCCCTTTTTTCTTTTTTTCTCTTTTTCTTTTTTTGTTACTTTCCACCAACGAGTAGCACGAAGCACAAATAACATTCTCGCCTCTCCCACCCACCTCACGTACCTCAACCACGCATTCATTTATCAACTTCTTTTTCTTTTCTTTTTCCATTTCTTTCTTTCTATCTTTCTTTCCTTATCTATACTACATATTCTACATTCTACATGTACGCATGTAAGTGTATATATATATATATATATATATTTAGAAATGTCAGAGGCTAAAGACGGTATTTGTATCCGGTTTGCTTCAGATCCCAAACCCCTACCCCTTTTCCCTCAAACGTATAGTATAATACACGTTTATATGTACGAGATAAAGAAGAGATAAAGAAGAGAGAAAGAGAGAGAGAGAGAGAGCGAAATAAATAGAAAAGGGCTATTCACGCCTTTTGGGAAATCGTGGGAAGAAAACACGAAGGACATTACCTACTTACTTAGGAACTTCTGACCCTTCACATTCAGACCCATCTATATACGAATCCATACGGAATCCAAGCGAATATTATAAAATATGAGCGAAGTCTTTTTGAAGAGAAAAATATTACGACGGTGATGAAAGTTGTTTTTATCAAGTGGTCCTTTAGGGGGCTAACTTATGATATTTTTTTTTCTACGTAAATATATTTATAATACTTATCAATATATATATATATATAATATATATTACAATAAATTGATATTTGGATTCTGATATTTTATATCAGAATTATTTAATATATTATATATTTTTTTAGTAGCAGTAGTTATATAGTTTATTTCAGTTTATAGCCAAGAAAGTAAGATTGCTTTGCAATTGCTTTTTTCCCCTTTTACGATATAAACTTTTTACGATGCACGCGAATTCTTTTTGAAAAATATTTTTTAAAGTATACAATAAAATATAAAATCAATTTTTCTTATTTTTGGACACAGTCCATTGTCCTAATTAACAGCACATATATAATATATATATACGTATTCACAAATTTGTTATTTCAATTTTGGAAAATAAACTTTACAGTTTTAATAGATATTAAAAATAACTATAACTAATATAATTAAGTAAGTAGTTATATTACGTTAATGAATCTACCAGTAGGTAACCACCTAATTTCTTCCTCGTCAAAATATTTTGAAGTTAAAAGAGTAACAAAAAAAAAAAATAAAAAGAAATAAGAAACCACAAGTATATATATATAGGGGATGAGAAATTCGCGAAGACGCGTGTTTCAAATGTCAGAGAAAAAAGCTGAGAGATCGAGAGACGTTTACTTTTTCTCTCTTTCGCTTCGATCAGCACTCACGATGCTCTTTGAAGGATTCTCAAGCGTAAAAACATTTTTCCACTTTGTTGAAGATAAAGCTTGTAGATATGATATATCTTAGTATGCTCTGTGAGAGGGGGTGAAAGGTAAGGAAGGTTGGAACGGTGGAAAGGGGTAAAAAGGGAACAAGGGGTGGGGGTTTACGCGTTTCGGGTCACGTTTTACGGCGCGATTATTCGTAAAGTACACTCTTGGATTCTGGCACCAAGCTTAGGAGCTCATTCGCTAACTCGTTCGTCAGCGAGTGCTGTTAGGCTAGTCGAGTGCACAATTTTTCGAGGACGAATCTGTATACTAGGTATGTGCGAATGTGTTCGAAGGACATTGCTGAGTTTTGCTCACGGTAAAAAAAAAGGAAAAAAAAAGAAAAAAAGAAAGAAGATGGAGGGATACTTAGGGATGATAGTGGGGATAAATGAGAACATATTATTTTTTCTTTTTTTTTTCAACGATTTTTATGCTTTCAACTTTGGTACCCGACAATCATACACGATCCTCATGTTTAACGTTCTTTAACACGAGTTGTATATTACGGATGTGAATCATTTTCATTCGTGCGATATTTTAACTTTATTACCTTTTGTTATTTTTCTATTTTCATAGTATTTTTTTTTTCTTTTTTTCCTAGACATCTTTTTTTTTTTAGATATGTTTTTGTCAGGTATTTTTGTGTTTTGGTATGTATCAGAGTTTAGTGATTATTTATTATTTTATAAATGTGAATATTTTTAATTTTATTATTAAAAATATTTGGACAAATTCTTTTACGTTTAGTTTGTGTTTTATCAGAGAACACTGTTTTAATTCCAATAAACATTCTTTGTTGGTCCCTTTTCCACTTGATATATAATACTATGATTACAAATAGAAAAGCAAACACGTAGAAAGAACGCGTGCCATTTATCGCTACTGGTTCGAGCTAATATTATCGTTATATAAAAGCCACGTACTTTGGATCCAATAATGTTTCGGTACGATATGCGGATTTAATATCGTGGTTAAACTTTATCGTTTGGAGGAGTTCACGTTCTCTTTTACTTGTGCGATCATTTCAAAATCGGAGTAGAATATTATACTAGATTTTTTACTTTAATGAAACATTTTTTTTCTTTTTTTCTTTTTATATAAACTTTTATAATTATTTGTTGTTCATACACATAGACAATAAGATTTTGTTATTAGATTTTTATATGAATAAACGTATATGTGATAGAATGAATTTGCGATAAACTATTGACACAAAATCTTTTTTTTTTGTTCTTTTTTTCTACTTCTTCGCTTAATTTTCAACTTTTCAATTTTTGGTTTTTTTTTTCTCAACTTATATTACGTTTTAACAAAATTGACTTTATTTTGCTTCATCTAGTAAAACTTCATTTAGGTCGATAAATCAAGAGGGTAAGGGGATTAGAGATAATTTACTTTATTTGTGTTAGAGTCGAACACAATACGTGAGACAATACATAAATGAGAGATTTCGTGAAAATTGGATAGGGGGGAGAGATTTACGTTAAATACCTTTCCACAATCTCTAGATCATCATTTTCACGATCCGTCCTATAAATCTTATAAAATGAAAATTTTGTTGTCTATCTTTTGGAGACAAACACTGTAAGAAATTTAATCCGACTAATATTATCTTTCTTTT